TGTTTCCATTTGTGCCTTCATGCCTGAATGCCTTCGCTGGACCTCCAAGATTGTTCAGTGCGAGGGCGGATCCAGATGGGGGAGTCATGGGGGTCATGACCCCCCCCCTGGGCTGGGTCCAGGACCTAGGTGGACCGTTAATTAAAATTGTTAAACATAATGTTTTATATATTTTTTTCCACAATATATATTTTTTATGTAAGTACCTTCAATATTAAATTAAATTAATATAATATTTTTAACCGACTTCAAAAGGAGGAGTTTCTCAATTCGAATGGTATATTTTTTTTCGATTCGTTTTCACCGATTACGTTGAGATTTATGATCCGATTTACGTGATTCTTTTTAATTTGAAGCAGAATAGTTGCCATTTGGTCCCATAAAAATTTACCATAGTTTGGACAAGTAGTTTTCATTTTATAAACATTTTTACAATATTTTAATGTCTGTCATCAAATCTTGCAAATTAAATTTGATCTACTTCCCGGTGGGTTATATACCAGTTGAGCTGAAATTTTGTATACATGTGTAAATCGCGAGACAATGGAATATTTTTATTACATGGTGCTGATCTGATGATGGAGCTGGAAGAAGGCCAATGGAACTTCGAAATGAAACGACAAAACCTCATCGCGTTTGGGTACATTTGAATCGTATTGACGAATAGTTTCTCTTTCATTGGTAACCAGGATCTAATGATGGAGTTCCATCTTCAGCCGTCCATGGACATATGCATAGGGTTGCAGATGCGTTTTCTACTACCTCACTCACCAGACAAAACGCGGAAGTACTTTTCGCCGATCTTCTGTAAGGTCTATGAGGATATTTTGTGAGGTTCCTATGAGCACTCTGTAATGAAACGACTCAACCCCATCGACTTTCAGCTCGTTTGATTCGTCTTGGCGAGTATTTAATTTTTAGATGATTACCAGGGACTGATCTGATGATGGAGCTGGAAGACAGTCATATGTACTCAGTAAAGAAACGACGCAACCCTATTGTGTCTCGGCTCGTTTGATTCGTCATGACGAGTTCTTTGGTGTTAGATGGTGACCAGGGTCTGATGCCAGAGCTGGAATGTGGTCATAGGAACTCAGTTATTAAGGAACACAACTGCGTCGAGTTTGATTCGTCTTAATAGGTGGACCGTTTTTGATGGGTGGTTTAGTGGACGTGAGTATGCGACCCCTTCTTTGGGAAATAAAGTTTGTTCGTTCCGTTTGTTATGAATGAGGATTCTGCCTTTGATTAGATGGATAATTTTTTTTTGTCATTTATGAACATTTTTTTAACGTAGACGATGTAATTTTATTTCGAGTGCGGCTATTTTAGGAGTTTTCTATTGGGTTGATTATATATTATTATTAACCCATGTCCAGATAGTCCTGTCTTAGGCTACTTGTCATTGAAGTGGAGCCAGCGTGCGGAGTAGAAAATATTGTAACCAATAAGACTACAAAATCTGGTAAAGAAGAAATAAATAAAAAGAAATTCCAAAAATAAGTAAGCCTACCAATAGCTACTTAAAAAATACTGTACAGGGAGGCTTTTCTAAGTGTATTTTTTTATTAAATTCTAGACATAAATAAAGTTATATAAAAAATGATAAATATTTAAAAATCACTCTTAATTAATTAATTACATTCATTTGAATTTATCTCAGAAAGTGCGTGTTTTATGGGCAACTCATTTATTTTACGCGCGATCATTCATAACTAACACGCACACAAGTTCGTTTCAAAAGTATACGACGCATTTATGAATGACTACCGCATTGTCAACAAGTTGTGTTTTTTAGGGAATAGAATGCCATTTAAAAAAAAGTTAGTTTTTATTCCAATAACCGATTATACTACCGGGTCTGCACCTCCTGTGTGAATTTGGGTACCTTTATAAAAGCCATCCTGTATAATATATGATAATAAAAAGCAACGAAATGTTACAAACAAAAAAAGAATTTTGCAAATCCGTCTATATATGACGAAGTTATGCCCGAACATACCTACATAAAAAAATATAAACATCCGAATTGATAACTTCCTTCTTTTTGAAATCGGTTAAAAATACCTACTTTTTACTTGTATCTATGATTATAAAATTATAACTTATCACTTGACCACGACTACGTGACCCCCCCAGGCACCAAAGCTGGATCCGCCCTTGGTTCACTGTATCCACCAACTGCAGCCACTAGCCCTCCAAGTTAATTTTTTCTTGCATCCCATCGCCATGACCTGCAGCACACACATGATTGACAAAACAATCATATGATTGAATTGGGCTGAGGAAGCTTTAACTCTCACCATTAACATTTCACTTCTTATGTGATATACCACGGTAATTTCCGCACAAATTCATTCAATTCATCAGTGATTCCACGCGACTTTCAAACGTGGAAATTTTGGTAGCTCAAATCACATGAGTGACACGTTCATTCCCCGCGGTTTCGTTCAACATGTCATACAAAATAAATTTTGCAAATGGCGTAAGTTTTCAAGAAATTGGTGAGGTTTCGAAACAAGGAATCGCTACGTGGGCATAGTAGAATAACTAAATAAATAGTGAAATAGGCCACTGGAGGTTGAGGCTTACACGGGTCTGCGGACGCTTTGTAAACTTTCTCAGTTTGCCTACCTTTTGAAGAGTTAGTACAATCATTCCCATTTTGGGTAATTTTTCATATATTCATACTAGTAGTTACCATGTCGCCAACTTTAATATATTTTTCTATTTGTAATCATCTTTTGCCCACGTTTTTTAAACAACGTAACAAATTTCTCGCTTTGCCAACAATTGGACATTCACAAACAAAAGTGAAATACAAATTTATATGAAAATAATTATATGAATATGAATTAAGGAATAATATTTTTGAGTTATAAAGAAATATTTTATAGATGTGGTATGGCGGGGCCACGCCACAGTCTTCACTGATGCATCAATGGGCAGGTCCGTCCGGGTAAGTACCGAGACTTTACAGAAGACCGGCGTGAAGTGAAAGTGTTATATTTCTGTGTTTCGTCTGGTGAGTGAGGTAGTCGGGGCCCAGTTTATTAAAAGTTGGCTAAGCATTTGCAACCCTATGGGTGTTACAAATGTCAATGGGTAGCGATTATCGCATCAGGTGAGTTGCTAGCGCACCATCTTCTCACATAAAAAACTATATATTGGTACACTAAACTAAATAAACATATTATTCTCCTAACAAATATTGTTGTTGTTGTTGTTATTCTTTCATGTGCAACTATGTCTTTTTTTTTAAATACGCGAATTTCTGGATCCTTGTACGCAATCGCTATGTTCAATTGAAAATACCTACAATTGAAATTTTCTGGTGGTATTTTTTCACTCATTGGTTCGTAAATACAAATCATAGCCATTCAGTAACAAAAGAACGATTATAATCACAATTTATATAAATAAAATACGGAATTAGTATAAAATAAAATCATAAGAGAAAATTATCAGTTTTTAATTATTCAGACAGAAAATAGATGTCAGATGTCTAAATTATTAAAAGAGACAATACCAAAGCGAAACTGCTTTTATTATCGATTGTAGAAAAGGTTGGCGATATGAGACACCTATTAGCAATAAATTCAATTGTTGGCAAAATAAAGTTATTAACATGAAAAATTTTAAAAGTTGACAAACTGAGAAAGTTGGCAGCATGGTAACTACTAGTATGAATACAAGAAAAATTACCCAAAAGAAGAATGATTGTATTAACTCATCAAAAGGTAGGCAAACTGAGAAAGTTTGCAAAGCGTCCGCAGATCTTACACGACCTGCGATAACAATTTGGAATGACGTAGTTGATTGTATTTTTGAATATTAGTGTTAGGTTGAAAGAAGCGTACGTGAAGATTGAAGCCACAACAATGGCAGTCGTCACCAAGTGACGGATCGGTGCGCAACGAGAGAGTGGTCGCACCGGTAATATCTAGTGAGGATTTGCGAAGTATTGAGCAGGCCACCACGCACGTTTGTGTAAGTAATAAAGTGAACATTTAAACGTCCGACGTTTACTCCAATCCCGAACCACTGGTTCATAAAAATATTTTATAACGAGTGTACAAACGTTCGTACGCTCGCTGAGTGATTAATTGTAAAGCCTTTTATCATCATTCATCGTCGCCCAAACCTAGTGGCAGGCGTCAGTCAGGAACTGCTGTGTACGCATAGGAACCCGATGGATGTATGTATGCTCTCAACGAAATATACTGTTGCATATACTCTTCCAGATCCCTTGTGCATTCGTTGAGTATCGAAAGATACTCCAACGCGCAAATACTGAAAACTCGTCCAGAAACTGAATGACTGAAACTGGATGGCGGCTTCGTGTTGTCGGCCTTCACCATCTAAGTTGTTCTCTCGAGTACGCGGATAATCTGCCCGCGGACCTCTTCCGCCGATACTGGGTTGGGCTAACAGCAAACTCCACTGTCACAAAAGGGTGTAGGACATTCGTGCTCTGCCACGATTGCCTATTGCACTGTTTGAAGCCCTGCATTATTTCTTGTTCCACAAGTTTAAATAGTACAGTGATTTAGATTAAATCCTGTGTGCTAAATTGTTTTTCTATCATTTTAAATAGTGTCTGACATCGCGAAGCCGACATGTACAATAGATAATACCCGCAGTTTCATTATACATACAACAACGTCAATAGTTATAACAATAAAATTATAGGTTTCATTTACCAAATGTTTTTATAATTTTCTGATTAGTAGTCTGGCTGTATTTTACTGGGTCTTCGCCACGTTACACGTAACTACAAATAAGGTCCTACTTATCTATGGCCACCCTCGGTATCAACGACAGCCGTTCAGCCGTCATCTTATGAATATGTCGAAGGCTAATTGTCGGACAAATCAAATTTTACTCTAACTCTACTGTAAATAACATTCTATTTAGGTTTCATTATTTTTAATTAAATGTGTCAATATTAGTATAACTGTTCACGCAAAAGAAACTGGTGGAACTCTATATTCTAAACGATGATGGACGGAAATGATTTAGCTTCAGAAACAACTAGAAGAGGAATTATTTCCCAAGCATGGACGCGTATTTCTCAGGTAATTTAATTTACAACATTCATTAACATTATCATTTTTATTATTTTATCATTCTATGTTCTATATACTTTCTGTAAAAGTTGCTGAAAGTTAGAAAAGATTGTTTAAAACTTGACCAACTGACATTAAAATTGAAGAAGATATATAATATTGTTACACTGTTATCCTATTAGTTAATCCACAGGAATTGAAGTGAAGTGATAAGGAGTTACAAATAAGTTAGCATTTTTGCTAATATATTTTCTAAATAAAAAACTAGTCTTTTTACCAAAAAATGGTGCATAACATTGTAAAATATAACCCTTTGCTTTTATAATTATGATTGATGTTTGTGCTTTCAGTTTATAGATTGTTTAAAGCTACATCAGGTACTTACACGAGTTAGATGACATTAGCCTTTTTAGTAAGAGGCTTTTGACCTGTGAATACATTCAAAATTTACTAATTTTCATTAAATTAGTATAGTATTAATACATGCACATAATTTTGGAATAGTGCACTTATTTATTATTCCAAAAAAAAATGCTTTGCCAACCTCTCCCCATGTGAAGCCACATCAGATATATTCAGATAGCCCTGAAAAAAAAAATTAGTTCATGCAAAAGGTTAATGTAATATTAACAGTATTACACATTTTTACAGGTTTATCAAGGTACATTAGATAAGTGGACACCTCATACCAAAGGAAGGTGGTTTGGAAGTATATTACTTTTAGCTGCTTTTGTTCTACGAATAATTACGAAACAAGTGAGTATATTAGTATAATTGATAAAAATGTTTTGTGTCAGTTACACATTCTTAATAAAATCGAAGTACATATTTTTAGTATAGAGTCAGTATTGTTCTACTACTGTTTATATAGTGCTGTTAAAATTGTAAACATAGAGAAACAAGGAATTATCAAAGCAACATATCTGCTGCTTAAAGACAGTAATAATAAAAACATTTTTTTATAATTTTTTTTAAATAAAAGATTAGTAATAGTAAAGTTTTTTCAGTATTCAATAGTTTTTGGGCTCTGGTGAAAAGTGTTGATTTTGATGGGTGTTTATAGGAAAAATATAATTATGTTCCATATCTCCCATGATGAAAAACAATTTAAATATAAAAATAATACATGAATTTGTATAAAGTGACAATTTCATTTTAACTAGAGTTTACTATTTATAAAAAACAACTTTTCTCCATAAAAATTGAAATGTACCACTCCACATTTTTTATTTATCACATGTTTTATTTTTATTTTTTTTACATATTTATATAATAGTCTGTATACACTTACTACAATTCCAATTTTATTTCAGGGGTGGTATATAGTTACATATGCACTTGGAATATATCACTTAAATTTATTTATTGCATTCCTTACACCGAAAATAGATCCTGCTATGGATTTTGATGGTTAGTGCAATTCCAGTAAAAAAGCATAGAAAAAATGTTTTTTTTTACAAATTGACTATCTTATCCAAACCTATTTAAATATGTTGCAGCTGATGATGAAAATGGCCCAGCTCTACCAACTCGTGCCACAGAAGAATTTAGGCCATTTATACGGAGATTACCAGAATTTAAATTTTGGCTTTCCGTTACAAAGAGCACAATCATAGCTTTTTTCTGTACATTTGTTGAAGCTTTCAATATTCCAGTATTCTGGCCTATTTTAGTCATGTATTTTATAACTTTGTTTTGTATTACAATGAAAAGGCAACTCAAGGTAAGGCTCAAATTTTAGTTCCGTGACTTTGAAACAACAAATCTTGAATATATATAATGAAAAAAAGTTAATTTGTTTTGAAAACTTACCTCGTAAATAATTTGTTGATTTCAAAAATTATAATTTTTATTTGAAGTATGTGATACTTCATTGTCTGGGTACTTACTTTTAATTCAACATATCTCAGCAACCCAAAAGAAATGGTTAATTTTAAGTGATGTACTTATCGTGTGCTCAGCGATGAAGCAAGAAACATTGTGACTAAACCTACATATATTTGAAAAAATTACAAAAAACAAATTTTAAGTCCACCAAGTCACAGTGAGGTCGTGTGGTGAACTATGGCCTAATACACTCTGTATAGAGGAGGCCTTTGCTCACAGTGGGATATATAGGCTGTTACATTACTTTACTTTTATTTATGTAATTAGAATTTCTCAGGATAATTAATTATCTTTCTCTATTTTTAACCTATACTCACATAATTATATGATAGTCCTATTATTTGTAAATTATACTTTTTAGAGTAACTTTTTTGTTTGCATAATGTTTGTTTGTTTGTTTCTTGTCTTGAACAGGGTTAAGATTACACATTTAATACATTATTATTTTATTCATAATCCTAGCAAAAGTCATGACATATTTTAAATCAAAAGATAAGAAAAATAATAGAAAATAGAATGGAATTGAGAACATAATGTTGTTAATGTTTATACTAAAGGAATAATTTTGTAACTTCCAGCATATGATCAAGTACAGATATCTGCCATTCACCCACAGCAAGCCAAAGTACAAAACTGTAGAATCAACAGTCACCGTAAACTGACGATGTATAAATCGTTTATGGATATGAGAAGCAGCGCCGATAGTCAAAGTATCTTAAAAAAACTGTTGTATGCAATTGTTTCCAGAAATACAGTTTTTATTGTAACGTTTTTTTATTTTTAATTTTTCTCAAAGGTATTAAAAAAATCATATATGTCGACACAAGAATTAAATATTTTATTATATATTTTCAACATGGTAGAGCCACACATCTGCTTTAGACATTGCTGAAGGGGTTGACTTTAAGGGGAAAGTACCACAGTCTCACAAAAGAAAGAAATTCATTGAATGAGGTTGATGTAGCCCAATCCCAATAATCAGGGTTTGGTTTTCAGTCCCAAGTCTAGACTGGGGCGATCTTCCTTGCATATTTTCCCTGAGGCCAGGTTTACTTCCCACTGGACGATCTTGGCGTCGTCCCTGACTGTGTCGCCGAAGTGCTTCAGGGAATGGAGTTTTTTATACCTTTCGCTGTGGTTACCATTCGTGGTAGATCCCAGCCCTGTCGCTTCTGCAAGATGACATTAGACGCCGTAAATAGGAGTGTTATTGTATAGGAACCATTTCAAGGGCATGGCATTTTGGGGTGTAAATAATAATAATTATTGAGTGTATCTTTTTTTTATAAATGTGACTATATTAAAGTTATATAAGATGGAATAAACACAAAAAAGATGGTATTCAACTATCTTTTTTTGTGTTTATTCCACCCCGTTTTTTAAGCAATCCTCGCCGAGATGCTGTTTCATTCAATTCTCCGGGTGATTCACGCATGCGTGTTGTTTAACTTCATTGATGTGCTGAGTTCTCAGAAATCTCCGGTACCTTCGTAGTCTCCAATACTGTTGGTGACGAAGACGATGTTCTACTGTCATTTTCAAGTCTCCGACCGATTAGTGGCCAATCGATATCAAAGACAGTATGTTTGGATCATTATTTATTTTTCGCGGTCTCGTGTTGGACATACTCATCCGTATAAGCATATTGATCAGTTTCATCATAGAGTAAATACTAAATACTACGGAAATAGAGAGCCATCTCGCGTATTATTTTGGTCAACAACGCGGACTAGCGACATCTATATTTCTTGTTCCGAAACATTCGGTGTATACCTACAGCGTCTTTACAAATCGCGACAATAAATAAACACACATATAGAGGATAACTTTTTAAAATTCTACTAAACATTTACATTCTTTAAACATCAATATTTACAGAGTTATTAAATTTTCCAAAACAAAGAATTTTAGAACACCCTTACGTATAAAACTGTAACGTAAAGTTCATTTATAAAGGTCACAAAGCATATGAATGGGTTGAATGAATTTAAAAGAGATAAAACACTGTTAGGAGAGGCTTGTAATGCGACGCTGTGGCAACGAATGAAAAAGTCTCTGAAAGTATGAATCAGTCAGTTGAAGTTGTATAGGTGTTACAAATTTTTTTTCTTTTTTAATTAATTAGTTTGAAAAAAAATTTTTTAACGTTAATATTTTTTTATGATTATTGGCAAGTAGCGTTAGATACGTGTTCATTTATTGTCGCGTTGGTAACGATACGCTGTATACTATCTCAGAATGATGATATGCTGTATACTATCTCAAAGTGAATTACCACAATTTTGAATTTTTGAAGTTTTAAATGCTTTAGGGTAGCATGAAAAATGATTTTTGTTCGAGCAAGCCTTGCACTTATCATCATATCAGTGATTTGCTCATTGAATTGATAGTAGTAATATGTTTGCTTCTATAAATGTGGGATGTAAGCATTACTGGTTCCGTCGCTGATGTGCACCGGGCAAAAAACATGCACCTCACTTATTTTTATTTACTTATACTTACTATTATTTATTTAATGTTTTATTTTATACTACTTTTTCTTTACAGGCAATTTTCAATATTTGTATTTTACAGAATGAGCACATCTCAAAAGAAGCATGTAGCAAAATGTGTACATTTTAATTAATGTTTCTTTTCATTTTTACATGTTTAGTCTATTTATTTGCTTAATGTTTATGCATGAATTATTCCTGATATTGTATTATGTCTACATTATGTATTATAACTTGATTTTTACCTGCAACCCGTAGTTGGACTGTAAAAGATATATCATATTGAGGGTTATCAACATAGGCATCTAAAACAATAGGTGTTTCTGAAAAATATAAAGTATAATTAATATAATAAAAATTTATAGTGGTAATGTAATGTAGTGGTAGATAACAGTTATGCTATCATCTCTTGCGAATAGGTTAAGCTCCGCTGTTTTTGCAATTAGAAAGGTTAGGCTGATAGCTATCAGACATCGACACTGCCAGACTTGTTTACTTCAGTTATTTTTACAGCATCTTGTCGTACGGCATTTTGTTGTGGGGTAGTGCATCTGTTATAAATTCAATATTTATTCTTCAAAAAAGAGCTGTCCGAGCAATCTCTAACATCGTAGCCCGGAATACACTCAGAGATCTTTTTAAAGAGATTAATATACTCACTGTTGCGTCTCAATATATTTATTGTAATCTTTTGTATGTTAAACATAATATTAATAATTATCTAAAGAATAGTGACAGACATAAACTAAATACTACAAATAGGGACAAACTAAATACGCCAATGTTTCGTCTACAAAAATGTTCATGGGGTAAAGTGTGCGCATGTATAATAAAATCCCACAGTCGATATTAAGTCTACCAATTGATGAATTTAAACGAAAAATTAAAAGTAAATCTATGGCTAAAGCCCATTATACTAGTGCCGAATATCTTAACGACGCCAATGTGTAGGGTTAATACTGTTGATACTCACGTAGGCTAAAACAAGACTATTATATTGTAAACTGACCTTTTAAAAAAGAGCAACCGTTGAGTTTCTTGCCGGTTTCTTCTCAACAGAAACTGCTTTCCGAACCGGTTTTAACTTACGAACGTGTTAATTTCTTTGTAAAATTTTGACGTTTCATAAGAACGCGCAGGAGTCTATGTGAATATATAAGTAATTTACTATTTAATTCATGTAACGTAAGTCGAAATAATTGCTTAAAACTTTGCTTAAAACTTGCCTAAAACTTGCCTATTTTAGATTGTCTATAAAAATGTCTGTATAACGATATATATAAGATTTTAATTGTATAACTGTTTTTATATGATATTAACACATATGTTGTGAAATTAGTGCGATAAAATAATTAGGGAAAAAGTGTATTTTCATAGTGTCATCGTAATTAATAAAACATTAAATTTAATTATTTGTAATCCGGTCATAAGACCTCGATTCTTTAAGGTAACGCACCAAGAGGGTGCCAAAGAAAAAATGTAAGCTCTCTGATTGGATACCAATTCGACAACCAATCAGAGAGCAGGAATTAATTCCCACAGGATCGTATAAATATAGCGGCGTTTCGGGGCATCATCGCAGTGGAACAAGCAACTAGAAGAAGTCAGCAAGAAAGAAGCCCTGCAGCCTGGAAGAGGAGGAGCCTGAAGCCATTAGAAGAACGTTTTATTGCATAAGAAAAAACTTGTACAAACGTCTGAAAACAAACATTGTTCTTTCTGTCTTCACGACATTCTAGTTTCTTTACCAATCCAGCACACTGAAATGTGCATTGCGCACATTTAATGGTCCTTCGAGCTCCGGATTGAAAGTAAGGAAAAAAGAAGAACGAATACACAATGCCAGTGACAAGATCCGTCGGAAAAGGCCGCAAGCCAACGGAGTTAGAACCATCGTCCGAAGAAACATCGGGCACCAGCTCCGGCAGTGGGACAGCGACCACGGAAGAAACCACCACGACGGAAACCACGGCGACGGGAACGACGGCTACGGAACGCAGCGAAGCCACATCTCACGTCGAGGAGTCACCAGCCACCGAACAAACCACTGATAGAACAACGTCCACCGCCACGACTGCCATCGAAGCGCCCCCCGCTCAAGCCACATCCACGGCACCTGTGGGGGCACCTACGGCCACTGCGGAAAAAAGCAGAACAGAACAAAGAAAACAGGTCGACGTCCGTTCACCAGGCAAGAGAAAAGGCGGTTCAATACGAGGCCAGTCGAAAGCACACAGGATTGCTAAGGCCAAGGAAGAATTATTGCGATTACAGGTTGAACTCGCCACAGCCAGAATAGCAGCCATGGAAACCGAAGACACGGACGACGAAAAGGATGACGACTCCGCCTGCTCGAAGATCGAAATAGACGAACGTGTCGACAACTGGGTAGAATCTCACGTACCCACAAGGGTGCAGGCGGCTCCTATCGACAAAAAGACCGCCACCGACGAGCATCACCCACCGCAGCCAACACGATCAACAGCGGCGGGAGCACAGTCCGACCTGACAGAACTGGCCGTAGCGATCACCAAAGCTGTCAATGCCGCACAGCGACCGAAGTGCATCGAGCTACCGCACTTCAACGGAGCACATCAAGAATGGCTACCCTTTCATATTATGAATGGGCATATTATGAAACCGAAGAAACATTCTCCACAGTCGAAAATCTAAATCGGCTGCGAAGAAACTTAGTGGGAAAAGCGAAAGAAGCCGTCGAGGGGCTGCTCATCACCGGCGCACACGCCTCAACAGTGATGAAGACATTAGAATCAAGATTCGGCAGACCAGATTCAATCGCAATTATGGAAATAGACGCTCTTCGTTCACTACCACGTCTCACCGAGTCGCCGAGGGACATATGCATCATCGCAACTATAGTAAGCAACATCACGGCTACTTTAGAAACACTCAACTGCATGCACTACATGTACAACCCAGAAGTAGCGAAGACCATCGTCGAAAAGTTTACGCCGACACTTCGATATCGCTTCTACGACTTCGCAGCCAACCAACTGAAGGAATCTCCCGACCTAATGAAAATTGAAAAGTTCCTGCGAAGAGAAGCCGACTTATGCGCACCATACGCATTACCCGAGCCGATAGTACATCATGCTGTACAGAGAAGACCACAGAAGATAAACAACGTCATCGAGAAACCACCACAGTCAAAGTGCCCCGTGTGTGAAGAATCTGGTCACACTATACCAGAATGTGAACGCTTCAAACGCAGCAACATCAACGACAGATGGGACACGGCAAAAGCAAAACGCCTGTGTTTTCGGTGCCTTCGCTTCAGGAACAAGGTGCACAACTGCCGCAACAGACCATGCGGCATAGACAACTGTAAGTACTTTCACCACAGAATGTTGCATCATACGAAGCCACCGAATAAAGAAGAAAATAAAAAAGCGACGCTGCGCCAGAGGCCATCAACTCTGCTTGGACCATCGAGAGGAAGCAATCCTACTTGAATATTCTGCCGGTTCGAGTGAGGGGACCACGGGGAATAACGAACACTTATGCACTAATGGACGACGGGTCAACGGTCACTCTGATAGACGACGCCATAGCAAACTGCGTGGGAGCCAAGGGACCCACCGACCCACTGAAGATAAAAACGATCAACGAGCTGAAGACATCCGAGTCGTGCTCAAGAAGGGTCACCATCACGCTGAAAGGTCTCAACAACCAGGAGGAAGAAATACAAGCGCGCACGGTCAAGAATTTACAAGTGTCGTCACAACGTGTCTCCAAGAAACTGGTGGAAGACTGTCAACACCTCGTAGACATCCGTAAGTACCTCATCTATAAAGACGTGAAACCACGGGTACTCATCGGTCAAGACAACTGGCACCTCCTCGTCACCAGCGAAGTAAGAAGAGGAAAATGGGACAACCAGTCGCATCGCTCACACCGTTAGGATGGGTACTCCACGGCAGCCAAACAAGAGGAGCCACCAGGAAGATTGATTTCGTGACACACATATCGGAAAAAAGAGACGATCTCGACGATCTGGTACGAAGATACTTCGAGATGGACGCTCTCTGTATACAACCGAAGAAGACCAAGTCCGACCCGGAGGAACAAGCTCTGCGCATACTGAATAAAAACACGAAGCAGACAAGTACAGGTCACTTCGAAACCGGCCTACTATGGCGCAACGAGCATACAGTTCTTCCGGACAATTACGACAACACCCTCAAGAGACTCCTGGGTATAGAAAAGAAGATAGACCGAGACCCTCAGCTGAAAGAAAAATACACAGAACAAATGGAGAGTCTTCTCAAGAAAGGATATGGCGAGCAAGCCCCACCAGAAAAGACGCCGTCGAAAACGTGGTACCTAACCTACCTCACTTCGGCGTCACGCATCCATTGAAACCGGACAAGCTACGCGTCGTTCACGATGCCGCCGCAAAAACCAAGGGAGTATAGCATTAAACGATATGTTGCTTAAGGTGCTCGATCTACTGCAATCCCTGCCAGGAGTCGTCATGAAGTTTCGACAACATCGAATCGCGGTGACGGCTGACATAAAAGAAATGTTCATGCAAGTAAAATTGAAGCCAGAAGACAGAGACGCCCTACGACACTTATGGCGCGGTGACCGTCGCGACGACCAACCGCCTACGGAATATAGAATGACGTCATTAAACTTCGGCGCCTCCAGCTCACCGTCTACAGCAATCTATGTGAAAGATTTGAACGCAAGAAAGTTCGCCAACACTCATCCCGAAGCCGCTGCCGCCATCATAAAGAAACACTACGTGGACGACTACCTGGACAGCTTCGAAAATATAGAAGACGCGATACGTATAACGCAAGACGTACGCGATATACACCAGAAGGCGAACTTCGAACTTAAGCAATGGAAGTCTAACTCGTCGGAGCTGATGGAAGGTACACCAGAGAAGCACAAGGTCCACTACAAAAAGAATAGAAAAAACAAAGAAAAGGACCCAGAATGGAAAAATTTAAATAAACCGTCGCACGAATCAAGTACGTGTGGCAAGCCTGTTTACCCAGAGGAAAATTTATCCCTTTAACAGCCGAGCTCCTCATAGAAACAGAGAAATTATTATTGCGATCCTCCCAAGAAGATTCATTCGCCGAAGAAATGGAAGACCTAAGAAAAATGAAAAAACTAAGCAAAGACGGCCGACTTCGTCACCTCAGCACCACGAAGATGGTTTCATCCGACTTAGGAGCCGTATCCAAGTAACGGAAGGGGTATCTCAACAACTTAAAAAACCCCTCATAATCGACGGTGACCATCCGACGGTCAAGTTATGGGTGAAATCGGTACACGTAAAAATGCATCACGCGGGAGACGAGGCGTCACACTCAACAAATGCAGACAACAGCACTGGATAATACGTTTACGCCCCACAGTACGCGCCATAATAAGAGCGTGTTTCTTCTGCAGACACCTAGAGATCGCGAGTTCGCTAAGCACCGACTCCGCAGTAATGGCGCTGCGGAGAATGATTTCGAGGAGAGCATGTCCTACACAAATTTGGTCGGACAATGGGACAAATTTGAAAGCCGCCGATAAAGAATTAAGAAAATCAATAGACGCCGCCACTATGGAAGAAGCGGCCAAGAAGACTATATCTTGGCGGTTCATCCCGCCCGCCGCTCCTTTCATGGGCGGAGCATGGGAGCGCCTCATACGCTCCGTAAAGAACGCGCTCACCGCCACGCTCCACGAGCTACACCCGAATGAAGAGGTACTCTCAACGCTGTTGGCAGAAGTGGAATATACGGTGAACAGTCGCCCGCTGACTCATGTGTCAGTCACCGCCGAAGATCCGGAGGACCTCACCCCCAACCGCTTCCTGCTGGGGGGTAACGGAAGGGTGCCGCAGCCGGGGACCTTCAACGAAAACGACGAAATATCAAGAGCCAGCTGGAGAGCAGCGCAACGTCTCGCCGATGTCTTCTGGTCGCGTTGGGTACGCGAATATCTGCCTGAATTACAACACCGGCGGGAGCCGCATGGACGTGGTTTAAGTGTTCAAAGTGGTGATTTAGTGCAAATCGTGGACGCTAATTTACCGCGAAATGTGTGGCCCCGTGGCAAAGTCGTCGCTACGTATCCCGGTCCTGACAACATCGTGCGCACGGTCGACGTGCAGACGAGAGGTGGAGTACTACGGCGGCCAGTCAGGAAGCTGGTCATACTATCACGTGCTGAAGACTCATCAACGGAGGATGCTGGACGAGCTACGAGCGACGTTTCGACCTGAGCTGCCCACGAGCAGCAAACCCGCACCGGTAGTTATGCAACTCAGTTGCACGGCGGGAGAATGTGCGGGATAGCTTAGTTTAATAGTGTTTGTATAAGTAATTTACTATTTAATTCATGTAACGTAAGTCGAAATAATTGCTTAAAACTTTGCTTAAAACTTGCTTATTTTAGATTGTCTATAAAAATGTCTGTATAATGAAATACTATAAGATTTTAATTGTATAAATGTTTTTATATGACTATTAACACATCTGCCTGAGTTACAACACCGGCGGGAGCCGCATGGACGTGGTTTAAGTGTTCAAAAGTGGTGATTTAGTGCAAATCGTGGACGCTAATTTACCGCGAAATGTGTGGCCCCGTGGCAAAGTCGTCGCTACGTATCCCGGTCCTGACAACATCGTGCGCACGGTCGACGTGCAGACGAGAGGTGGAGTACTACGGCGGCCAGTCAGGAAGCTGGTCATACTATCACGTGCTGAAGACTCATCAACGGAGGATGCTGGACGAGCTACGAGCGA